GTAAAAATACGGATACATCCATTAGAATGTAGGTAAAAGTAATAACTGTCTAATATCAATATCTGATATATGTAAATAGTTCGGCAATATATATATGTCGTATATATAAAAATGGAGAGAGAATAAACACTTTAGAAGTTAGAAAGTAAAAAAAAAGAAATCAGGATGGTGTAAAAGGATCGCAAATATTCGCAATAAAAATGACCAGTGCCAACTTATAAATATGAATATCAACCTAAACCCATTGATCTTTTCGATTTGAAAATATTTTAATAATAAATATTGCATATAACAAACAACAACAACAAAAAGCCTTTATTTAGGGTCACTGACCCTATACAGGATTCACCAGAGGTATGCATAAGAACAAAGCAGTGAGACAAAGGAAACAATGATATAGACAGAAGAAAAAGAAATAATAATAAAAAAAAAATAAGAAAGAGAAAGAGGGAAGCAAGAAAAACAACACAAAAAGAGTAGCAGTAAGAAAGTGAGGAGTGAGTGTTACTTGGCCTTCTTCTGAGATATGGACTTGTGGAAACCATAAAACGCCGTAGCAATATACTTAATATTGCATATAATATATGCGTTATATGCACATAAGTATCACGTAATATATATTTCTCCTCAACCAGCCATAGGCTGGCAGTATTCCTGTCCTCTCAGAGCTTTCTTTCCAGAGGTAGTTTCCACATCTGTATTAAAGATCAGACATTTCATGTCCCAATCCTGGAATGCTGACGACCGAAGAGACGAGATAAGAGAATAAAGAAATATCAGAATATTTAAGAAATTTATTTTCCCCCGAAGTACTACACAAATCTCCTTTGTTCCCCCAAACCACATCTACATTGATCATTTTCATTTTTTCCTATTATACTCTAGCAGATTATTTCTTATTCTATGAAAAGTTTTTTAATTTCGATATTTGTATTTTGATACACTGTAAATTGTTTTTATTGCCTTTCTGTTTTTATTAGTTTTAATTTGGTTTTATATTAATAATAAATCGCCGTGTAATTCTGAGGTTTGTTTTTCCTAATTTTCTGCGTTACAATATATATTTCTTGATTTCTCAAGAAGCCTCTGGAACCAAAATATTTTTAGTCGTAGAGTTACAGCCTGCATCACGCTGACGAGGGCCAACAGCCCTAAACGCGTTCGGGGTTGACTTTTCTCGATTTATCAAGAAAAGCGGTTGGCCAAATATCAGGGAACAGGCGAAATCAACATTTAGTTTATTTCTGTTTCATTAGATAGCGATCTGCCATTTTTTATTTCAATACCAAACACCTGACCTTTTTTAATTTTTTTTTCTTATTTTTTCACACACACATATATTATCCAGATTGAAATTTTTCCGGGAGGATATTGATCTAAAGAGACTAAGGTCGCCTCTCCCGTCAAAATAGACGTCAAAACTAGACGCCATCTATTCAATTTTCCAAAGCTGGTGTTGTGGCTTTGTCACCGACCTGAGGCCGCTAGTTGCGGCGACGGTCAATAAATGGCGTCTAGTTTTGACGGGAGAGGCGACCTTAGTCTCTTTAGATATATTATCCAGTTGTACGATTGTTGAATTGGGGCATAAGGGAATCAATCACCCTGCAATTCTTCTCTGTATTCCATCATGAGAGGACAGTTTCTCCTATTTTATATAGGTGACTTTTGAAGGAACCGTGTAGAGCAGGCGTGATAATAAGTTACCAATGATCGGAAAAGAAAATATCCTATAAAGGATAACATAAAAGAGACGCAGGTTCCATGGGGAACAGTGGGTGGATTAAGGGCGATGGAAAAAAATTATCGATGAAGAGTTCCACGTCCCTCAGTGTCCAGTTATCTCAGTCTCTATCTGGCGAAATGTGTACTCTAGACATGGGTGTGTGAATTGTAACATGATTAAATAGAGAATACCATAATTTTGTTGGTTGGATTATATTTAATTCTTCTTATCCCAAAATCACTTCATTAAGTACCGCTCAAAAAGAACAACCTAGCTTATGATAATTGAAACAATGAATAATATGTGAAGGTTATTCACATATTAAACAAAATGTTAACGCGGGATTCAATCCCGATTCATGGCTGTCAGGAATCGAGGGTGTTACCCGTCCGTCCATCGACTCTATGTTTCATTCAAGTTGAATACTTTATCAATCTTTTTTTAAATTTTATATAAAGGTTTATTGTCCTTTTTGATGTTTCGGTGATCCAATGTCGTCCTTTTAAAAAAATATGGAAATCTTGTTAGTAAAAAGTATGGAAATTTTATATAACAACTAGCGGATGTGCCCGGCTTCGCCCGGGTTTTACCTGAGTGAATGTTTGTCTAACGAACATTTGTTAAAACAATTCTCTATAAACTTATAAAACGTACTCGGCTTCGCCCGGGGTTTTACCCGAGTAAAGGTTTGTCTAGCGAACATTTGTTAAAACAATTCTCTAAAAACTTATTTAAAAAAAATATATATATATTTTGATAATTTGAAACTCGTAAATTTGAATCTCTCGATATATTGTTATCATCGTCACAATGGGGGCGCTGCTTGCGAGTTAAATCTACAAATCTGCAAATAACTCTAAGGATATTCAAGATATTCATGAAATTATTTTTCAAAAACCTTCCCGGTGATATACCTAATAATATCCCAAAATTTCACGGCGATTGGATGTATGGTTTTTGAATCTATAGAGTGCAGACAAACAGACAGACATTCAATTTTATATATATAGATAGATTCACTCTTCATTGTTGGCTTTTTATCTTACATTCATTCTTCATTGTTGGCTTTTTATATTACATTCACTCTTTATTGTTCACTTTTTATCTTACATTCATTCTTCATTGTTGGCTTTTTATATTACATTCACTCTTCATTGTTGGCTTTTTATCTTACATTCACTCTGTTGGCTTTTTATATTACATTTACTCTTCATTGTTGGCTTTTTATCTTACATTCACTCTTCATTGTTGGCTTTTTATATTATATTTACTCTTCATTGTTGGCTTTTCATCTTACATTCATTCTTCATTGTTGGCTTTTTATATTATATTTACTATTCATTGTTGGCTTTTTATCTTACATTCATTCTTCATTGTTGGCTTTTTATATTACATTCACTCTTCATTGTTGGCTTTTTATCTTACATTCATTCTTCATTGTTGGCTTTTTATATTACATTCACTCTTCATTGTTGGCTTTTTATCTTACATTCACTCTGTTGGCTTTTTATATTACATTTACTCTTCATTGTTGGATTTTTATCTTACATTCACTCTTCATTGTTGGCTTTTTATATTATATTTACTCTTCATTGTTGGCTTTTTATCTTACATTCATTCTTCATTGTTGGCTTTTTATATTATATTTACTCTTCATTGTTGGATTTTTATCTTACATTCATTCTTCATTGTTGGCTTTTTATATTACATTTATCCGAGTGAAAGTTTGCCTAACGAATATTATATATTATGAAGTATAATAAACAATGTTAAAGATTAGTTTTAATTATTAATCAAGATTGTGTGTGAATATATGAGAAAGATGTAATATCGTTGTTGTTTTCTTGGCCGAATGTTTTACATATGGTGTTATCTTAAAATTGCTTGTTTTGAATATTTTTTTAGATTGAGTTGAATGAATTGCTGAATTTTTTTTGTATTTATATATAAATAAAATTAACTCTGTTGATTTTTTTGTATTTAATCGATAACAGCTAAGTTACGCATGTTAATGTTAGGGAAAAATATTTTGATGTTGAGCAAAACCTGCTCCATCTCGTTTTACATAAATGTTGAAAATTTGGTTGAAATTGATGCATTGTAACGAAAGTTTTTAGTGATGTCCTCTTATGAAATTTGAATTTTATTAATTTAGATAACAAAAAGCCTTTATTAAGGACATTCGTCCCCTACAAGATTCTCCCAGATGGGTAAACATGAGTAAAATAGCAGTGAAGAATAAGATCGACCTTTCTTCAAGTTGGATTTATCATCTGTACTGCGCCTATTGTCTGTGCTGTTTCCCAGGATTTGAGAAAAGCTAATGCATTGGGTTTAGGCTTTTTACTATTTTTTCCATTGGAAATTATATATATTCAAATATTTTTGAAAATAGAGCAATCCAGAAATAAATATTTAATTAAAAAGGCATATATTGAATCAAAATATCATTATATTGGTTACCAAATATACCAATAAATGATATTTTAATTCAATATATGCCTTTTTTAATTAAATATTTATTTAGGTTATATTTGATATTAACTAAATTTGATTCTAATTATTTTAATGGTTATGTCTGGCAAAATATCCTCACAATTATTTATAGCTCTAGTTCATACTACTGATTTATTTTACGGAATTCCAAACGCGTATTACGCTACAAACGGCTGCACCTATTTTATCCTATTTTAGTATATATGCAAATTCTATTCTATGGTCTATTCCATAGAAGTCTGATTTTTTGTATATTTGCATTGTCATCTGGATTGAGTGAGTGTACAAAATTTCACACTTCTACATGGTCAGAAAGTCTATTAAAAATTGCTCACAAAATTTGAAAAGAAATATGGAAAAATAGTCCATTACTGAAGCAAACTCCTAGAAGTCTAAAATTGTGTCATCCTGCCTTGTTAGCGATATCGCAGGTCTACGAATTTGGTTTGATCTGGAGAGAGAAGTATATTATAATTGATCATAAAATTTGAGGGCAAATTTATAAATTAAAATTACTCCATTGCCGATCACCCAGAAGTCTGAAATTTTGTCAACTTGCAATGTCATCGGGTTTGAACAAGTGAGTGTGTACCAAATTTCAGACTTCCAGGTACTGTGTAAGTATGTTGAACATTTATAACAAGATTTGTGGACAGACAGACAGAACGACAGACAGACATGGAAGCTAGTCAAATAAAATATTTTTTAAAAAGAACCAGGGATATTCGAACTCATGATTTCCTCTTTATTAAACAGGCACTTAATCAACTATGGCGCCGTGGCTTAGTTGGTTAAAGCGCCTGTCTAGTAAACAGGAGATCGTGAGTTCGAAGGTGCGTTCTTTTTTTTTTTTGGTCATTTATTGTTTTATTTCCTATTATTATATATTTGAGACGAAAGACCCTGAAACACCCGGATTTTTACCCAAGCCTATGAAATTAGTCGGTCTGTTACAAACAAAGATATCTGGTAAAATTGAGGCAGACGCTATATATAAATAAATCAAACAAATCAGTTCAGTCGAACTACTAGTTAGGCCTAAAAATAAAGTTTAGCAACAAAGGAACTCAATCGTGTCGTGCAAATAAGTTCGATCTGCTTTTTTTTTTTCCGTCGGGCTTCTTAAATAAAGAATCTTTTGTAGTTGATTAATGGCGTGTCACGTGATTAATTGGTTTTGGCGCGCAATTTATTTTCGAGCAGACGATAGATTTATGTACATCATATGTTTGATTATCTTTTAGAACAAGTATGCCCCGATAGCTAGATTCATTTTTTTTTATTATTATTATAATTATCTGTGTGTATATATTTTTAATTAAATATCTGTTAATTATAAATACACTATAAAACTGTTTTAGAAATCAAAATTATAAGTTAGGGTTAATGAGGCGATATCAAGAATAGGGTATTTTATCTATTTCTTCTCTCCATAGCGATTGGTTGATGGCTGGCAGTATTCTTGTCCTCTCAGAGCTTCCTTCCCAGAGCTAGGCATTTGATTGCACGATCGGGAGATGCCTTTTTCTTAATTCTCTGTCTTGGTCGTCTGGCTTCCATTGATATTTCAAACATAATTCCTTTTGCGTACTTGATACCAATTCTTTATGAATTCTGTTCGGTTAATCTTTTCTAAACTTGATGGGTAGAAGTTGGCGACTGCTTTTACTGTATGAACTACATGTCTACACATGTGAAAAGCAGTTAGAATTTTGCACTTACAAATGTGCCAGAGCCCCGTTTGACAGCCCGAAACGCCTACGTGGTTGGCTTTTCTTGATTTATTAAGAAAATGGGTTTGCTAAATATCATGGAACAAACCTAACATATGTTGAATTTATATAGAGAGATTTTTAACGCTCCTTTTCTTTTGAATATATTTAATTAAAAGCTATTTCTCTCTCTCTCTATAGCCCTTATACTGCAGTGAATAAAAATTGAAAGAGGAAAGGCATGGATCATCAGTGGTGAATCGAATTAAAAATGGCGAAACCACAATGAGGGTTCACCTTTGATGAGCCATGTCTTTCCTCTTTTTAAATTTAATTGAAGTATAAGTACTGTAGAAATAGGTTTAAATTATATATATTTAAAAATATTGTGAAATGAATTAAAAGTTGCGAAAACACTGGGAGGGTTAACCACTGATGAACCATACCCTCCCTCTTTAAAATGTTATTCTTGCAGGATAAGGGCTGAAGAAATAGGTTTTTTTTTTTTGCTTATCCCTAGTACACGTGGTACAGGCCATGATAATCATGGTGAGTAGATGTAGGCGACTGCTTTTACTGTAAGTACACCACATGTCTACACATGTGAAAAGCATTTCGACTTTGCACTTAAAAATGTGCCAGAGCCCCGTTTGGTTACTTGCACTCGCTGGTGGGGTTGGAATTTTGCAAGAATCGGGGGCCATTGGAGCATTTTTTTTAAATCAGAAAAAAAGTTCCCAATGCGGGAATCGAATCCGGGTCGTAGCGGTCGAAAACCAACGGTTTAGACCATCTTTCCACTATAGGTTTTGATTATAGTGATTTAAAAAGTAGTATGAAAAATAGTACAAATGTGATATTATACTGGGATAAATTAAGAAAGAAAAAGACATCTCATTTTCGTGCAACTGAAAGTTGCTGATGGTTTGTGACCTCTATCGGAATAAATATAATATTGTATATAGAGGTATATAATAGAGGTACAGCTTGCACCACGCTGACGAGGGCCAACAGCCCGAAACGCGTACGTGCTTTTCTTGATTAATCAAGAATGGGTATTTGGCCAATGCTGAAATAATTAAAAATCAATGAATCTATATATATAAAATTGAATGTATGTCTGTTTGTCTGTACTCTATAGATTCAAAAACCATACATCCAATCGCCGTGAAATTTTGGGATATTATTAGGTATATCACCGGGAAGGTTTTTGAAAAATAATTTCATGAATATCTTGAATATCCTTAGAGTTATTTGCAGATTTGTAGATTTAACTCGCAAGCAGCGCCCCCATTGTGACGATGTTAACAAGTTTTCTTATCACTAAGTTTGTTATCTTAAATATTATTCATCAAAAGTAAGATTATCTCAGGATGACACGGCAATGTGACACGGGAAGCCGGGTACGTCCGCTAGTAGTTGATATTTATTCCGATAGATGGGGCAAGCCATCAGCAACTTTCAGTTTCACGATAAGGAGATGCCTTTTTCCTTTCTTAAAAAGTAGCGTTATAAATATAGATTTACCAGCGATAGAGAACGATAAATCGATATTTTGAAAAGCTATGTGACTGGAATATTGTTAAACGCGATAGTGATAGGGCACATAAACGATAGATAATAAAACGATACAAGGTAATAAGATCAAACAAATAAATAGTGTGACGTTTCGGTAACAGCGTTGTTCCCATTATCAGAAAAAAGTACTGTATTCACAGATATTGGTAACATATACATGTAACAAAACGCTGTTACCGAAACGTCGTGTTACCATATGTATATGTTATTAATGTTTGTGAATACAGTACTTTTGTCTGATGATGGTAACAAAGCTGTTACCGAAACGTCACACACTATTTATTTAAATTTTGTCTTATTACCTTGTGTTTATAATCTATAATCCAAAGTGTGTGTCATATCATAATAAAACGATAAATATCACGGAGAATATCGTGTTATAAAACCGAAAATACATAAATAGAATATCTTTAATGCAGTAGAACCTCCCTTTATGGCGGACACTATCTACAAAGGACAGTTTTCATTAACAAAATTACCATTTTTACAATTTAGCAACTATCCAGTAAGAGGACATCTCTCCCTAAAGGACACTTTGGCTCTGCAATTAGGTGTTGTCCTTTACAGGGAGGTATTTCTACTGTATTACAATTTGTTTGTAAAATAATAAAAAAAAAAAAAAGTGGCCCATGGGGGGATCGAACCCACGACCTTCGCGTTATTAGCACGACGCTCTAACCAACTGAGCTAATGGGCCTTAATTTCCTACTTCCTTGTTTACTTTATAAATAAATAAATCATTTCCGTTTTAAGTTGTTATCTTGGTCAAAAAACAACAAAAATAATGTTAGATGAGGATAAAGTCATTCAAATGAGTTTTTAAATTGAAAATATTTATATATTTTTTTAGCATATTCAAAATAAATTTATACAAATACTTATAAGGAGAGGACCTCGCTCATCAGTGAAGAACACTCCCAGTGATTACCACAAGAGAATAAAGCTATAAATGCTGACTATAAAAGTAAGCATGTTAAAAAACAACGTTTAATTTATTTTTGTTCCATTAGATGGCGCTCTACCATCTAAAATGTTCATGTGAGCGGTCAGTATATGCAAATTTTGTTTTTAATATCAACACCTGACAATTTTTCTATTTTTAAATTGTATTTTTTCACATGAAAAGAGTTTTTACGAAAACTTGGCCTTAAATACCCATTTTTCTTGATATCTCAGGAAGCCTCTATAGGCGCAGTCTGCAACACGCTGACGTGGACTAAAGATAGAGTTTTGCTTGATTTTATCAAGAAATCGACGTTTAGTTGATTTTTATTCAATTAGATGGCGCTCACAAAAATAGTCGGTGGATGAGAGGGTAACACGCTCGATTCCCGAAAATAAGTCGGTGAATGAGAGGGTAACACGCTCGATTCCCGAAAATAAGTCGGTGAATGAGAGGGTAACACGCTCGATTCCCGAAAATAAGTCGGTGAATGAGAGGGTAACACGCTCGATTCCCGAAAATAAGTCGGTGAATGAGAGGGTAACACGCTCGATTCCCGATATAAGTCGGTGGATGAGAGGGTAACACGCTCGATTCCCGAAAATAAGTCGGTGAATGAGAGGGTAACACGCTCGATTCCCGATATAAGTCGGTGAATGAGAGGGTAACACGCTCGATTCCCGAAAATAAGTCGGTGAATGAGAGGGTAACACGCTCGATTCCCGATATAAGTCGGTGAATGAGAGGGTAACACGCTCGATTCCCGAAAATAAGTCGGTGAATGAGAGGGTAACACGCTCGATTCCCGAAAATAAGTCGGTGAATGAGAGGGTAACACGCTCGATTCCCGAAAATAAGTCGGTGAATGAGAGGGTAACACGCTCGATTCCCGATATAAGTCGGTGGATGAGAGGGTAACACGCTCGATTCCCGAAAATAAGTCGGTGAATGAGAGGGTAACACGCTCGATTCCCGATATAAGTCGGTGGATGAGAGGGTAACACGCTCGATTCCCGATATAAGTCGGTGGATGAGAGGGTAACACGCTCGATTCCCGAAAATAAGTCGGTGAATGAGAGGGTAACACGCTCGATTCCCGATATAAGTCGGTGGATGAGAGGGTAACACGCTCGATTCCCGATATAAGTCGGTGGATGAGAGGGTAACACGCTCGATTCCCGATATAAGTCGGTGGATGAGAGGGTAACACGCTCGATTCCCGATATAAGTCGGTGGATGAGAGGGTAACACGCTCGATTCCCGAAAATAAGTCGGTGAATGAGAGGGTAACACGCTCGATTCCCGAAAATAAGTCGGTGGATGAGAGGGTAACACGCTCGATTCCCGACAGTCATGAACCGGGATTGAATCCCGCGTTAAATACCATCACATATTATTCACTGTTTCAATTATCATGAACTAGGTTGCTCTTGCTGAGCGGTACCTATTGATGTGATTTTGAACCAGATGGCGCTCTGCCATCTAAATGCTTGTGTGATAGGTCAAGAAATGCTAATTTTGTTTTTAATGTTATATATATTAATGATAATCATGGTGGGTAGCAGTTGATGACTGCTTTTACGGTAAGTACAAGTCTACACATGTGGAA